CGATAACTTTCCCAATTGTAGATATTCTATGAAAGGCAGACACCAATCTTCTATAATTTCATTAACTATTTCTATCGTTTCTTTGTTTCCCAGTTTATGCAAATCCCAGTTTATGCAAATGTCCATATTAATCTGCGAAAGAACTTGACATCCCTGTATTAAAATATCAATGGAATCTTCTTGTGAACATGTGAATTCTTTGGCGAGCTTAGCTAAAGCATCTGCAAGAGCATTTTATCCTATCAGAATTATGCACCTCGCATTAAGAATCTACTCTAATAACTATATCATACAGAGAAAATACTGTTGAAGTCTGCGCTTCAAAATTTTATATCTTACAACAACTTGATGAATAATCCCTATCGGGTTTTAAATATTATTATTCATTATTCTCATTAATAATTTCAATTCTAATCCAATTATTAAAACTTCATATTCTGCCTTGTTCGTACATGATTCTGTCGAGTGATAAGAATATCTTAGCATTTCTTGTTCCGGTACAATAAAAGATCAGCTTGATTCTTAACTTACTGAGCACTATCGTCTGTGATTCTTTATCCTTTTGTGCTGACAAAACTCAATCAAAGTACATTTCCCAATATTGATGGTTGAGGTCTTCTAAATTCATTATTTGCCCGTCTAACAAGTTACCGTTGAGAGGAGACTCAGCCGATAGCTTGTACATCACGAGAAAATCTGCCAAGATTTATTCTTTCATACATTTCCCAATGTTGATGGTTGAGGTCTTCTAAATTCATTATTTGCTCGTCTAACAAGTTATCGTTGAGAGGAGATTCAGCCGATAGCTTATACATCACGAGAAAATCTGCCAAGATTTATTCTTTCACGACATGAAGATGCACAAATGTTATATCAAATTGCAATAATATCACCAACCACCTTGTTAACTTACTGAAAAACGTCGATCAAAACATCAAGTATTGTAATGGATTAAACTTTGAAATAAGGTTAACCTTGTGAGAAAACATAGTGTTTAAGCATTGGGCAACATAAATTAAAGCAAGAGAATGTTTCTTAATAGGAGAATACTTTACCTCCAAGGGTATTGGTGATGACTTAAATAATAGAGAACATTTTCGTACCCCGTCTTTGACCTGAGCTAACAAGACTCCAAGGGAGTCGTCCAAAACAATGGTATAGAGTATCAACGGTCTATCAGAAACAGAGGTTGCTAACACCGGAGGTGTCATCAAATATTGTTTAATGCTTCCAAAAGCATGTTGACATTTATCATCCAAATTAAACTTATTATCTTTCTTGATCAACACAATAAAATGCTAACACCTAGCTGACAGGTTAGAGATAAAATATCTTAGGTACTCCAGACTCCGTTGAAAAGATTGTAATTGTGTTAAGCTCTTGAAGGGCAACATTTTTAAAATGGTTTTAATCTTTCGAGGATCGATTTGAATTTCGTGGTGATAGAAAACAAATCCTAAAAACTTCCAGAAGGTGACACCAATTGTACAATTTAGGGGATCATTTTATAATTAAAGTCGTACCCGTTCAAAGGCAATTCTTAAATCATTTAAGTGGTCGTCCTTTTGTCTGCTATTGACGATTAAGTCATCCACATAACACTCAACCTGGTAGTGAATGAGTTTGTCGTAAATCCTCGTCATTGCCCGCTGGTAAGTCGCACCAACATTCTTCAATATAAAAGACATTACTGTGTAGCATTCTGTAAACTGTAAATTTCTCTTCTTCTGGTAGTTGAAGCATGACGATCCATCCATGAAATAGAAGTTTGTGCGAGACGACGCAATATCTACTATTAACTTTGGAATTAGCAATGCAAGCTTGTCCTTTGGAAATGCTTTGTTCAAATCCCTAAAGTCGATGCATACCCGGATCTAGCCTTTTTTTTTTGTGCAACGTTGGCTAGCCATGTTGGATACTTTTCTTCTCGGATGAAACCAGCGTCAATTAATTTCTTAACTTCAGCTATGACTTATTGCTCAATTTCTCGATGCATCATTCTAGGAGCTTGCTTGTCTGAAATTGCAGTTTGGTCTAATCCCAACTTATGACTTGCATTTTCTGGAGCTAGTCCAGGTATCTCTTCATAACTCCAAGCAAAACCGTTCTCTGACAATAATTTGATCTTTTTTGCATATTCTTCTTCGTTGAGAAGTAAACTGATAATGGTTGGTCCTTGATATTTCTCTGTTCCCAAATTAACCACTTTAAATTTGTCAATTATTGATTTGATTTCTTTTTCAAACTCTGATAGAGCATCATTTATTGGAGGATCTTCAAAGTTCTCTGATGCTTTTGCATAGACTTCATTCGAATTGACAGTAACAACCAGACAATATTTCATAGCATCAACTAGCCAATTATTTTGAACCCTATACCTTCTTTCAAGTTGAAACGACTCTTGTTATTCCAAAATTCTTCAAAAGGGTGTGATTTATCTTTTAACCATTGTTTAGACACAACACTATGCTAACAAGTTTCTGAACACTAGAAGAATACCATTCAACAGACAATTCTATTAATTATGAAGAAGTGTCTTCTTCTAATTTTACATTAGTTTCATAACTAGAAGCAAAAATCATGGTGAAACTTGATCGACTTTATGCATACACCATGCACTTTCTTAATCGCCAAACCCTCAATTTTATTATTAGTAGAAATTCAGATAAGTGTCGTGGCTTGTATATAGTGATTGATCTTATCGTACATTGACTTATATTCACATTTATTATCGTCTTCCAAGGAGATCTATAACTGTGGCTTCTTTGATTTATTTTCCTTGCACTATTCTTGTATATGACTTTCAAGTCAATACTGATAATTAGAGTCTTCTTCTATTCAACAATTTTGCTATCTCTTCCTTGTTTTTGTCCCCGGCCTCGAACTCGACTAAGAATTCGAGTTCTAGAAGAGTCTATACCTTCTCGTTACAAAGGAGCGGTGGGAGGTTGTCAAACTAGAATTAGATGGTTTTGTTCTTCTCTTTTCATCTTTCAAACTTTCTGAAATTTCTTCTTTATTTGGTACATCTCAAGAAAAAACTGTCATTTTCAGGGGAGTGTAGTAAGCGGCTTTTTTGTGAATCCCCACTTCATGTATTGAAAATGACTGTAAATCTCCTTTTATGCAGTACTCTTTGTCCTTCATAAAAATACTTTATGCACTAGTGCAAAGATGAAAGAACCATCATGTGTTCATAAAACCATGGTCGACTCAATGGGACATTGAACATCTCAGAATCCATGATATGAAATTTTACAGTCATTGCTAAGTCACCGATCTTCAAAAACAATGTGAATAACCTAAGTGGTCTCTCTCCTTTATGGTTGAAGCATCGTAAAATCACCTTATCAGTCGTTCATTTGCGGGCATCAATATCCAAGTATGCCAATGTATATAAATTCATTATATTTGATGGAGGCGTCGGGATCCACTAGTACTTCAGAGATATCATCGTTTCAATGAAGTCGCCAGAAAAATATGTTGGTTTAATTTTAGCTGAAAGGTTCAATTTTGAAAATACGACCAAACATATCTTGAATATTTGATTGTTAAAATAAACTAACACAACATTACAAGTAATTTATCATCTCCAAATATGAGAATACTATTTAATAATGGGTACAACTATTCAAATAAGAAAATTTAGAATATGTATTTGGTCTGCAAAAATACCAATATATCTTTCATCTATCTGATCTGAAAATTAGATATGATAAGATTATCTGAGTTGCTAATTTTCTATATACACAAACCCCTAAAGTTAATTACATCTTAAAAACTGAGATCACTTAAGGAAACTCTCGATTAAGATTAGGGTTATGTCTTCAATAATTCAAATTCAAGTTTCCATAATTGATTATAGAAAAATGAATTGGGAAAGACTCAATTTGGAACAGTTATTTTTAGAGCTCAAATGAACAAAAAGTAGGATATATTAAAGATACTGAGAAAACCTTAGTAACATCCCAACTATCTTATGATTTGACTTATACATTTTTTAAAGAGAAGTTATTGCGTTTCAATCCTGAAATTTTATGTAGAAATTTAGGACTTATATCCTACAATATAAAATTGTGAGAAATACAAAGAATGTGAGAGTTTATGTCGTGCTAGACGAACGACCTCAGAATCCTAAGACTAAATGTGATATTCACCGAAAAAAGTGAAATATCAAAAACTTAGTCTAAAGAAAGAAACACAAAAATAAACATACATAATGGACTTATAATCCTGTCTAGAAATGTAGTCATTTAAACCACAAAAACGCGTTTAAAACCATGAAGATTAGTCACAATGAATGAAGGATGAGAAATGTTGTTTATTAAGAATTGTAAGTCTTATAACTTAATCATAACAATCAAGATGCCTAAAATTATGTATGTTACGCAAAAACGTCCTAAAACTAATGCGGATTTATTTTAACAATTTAAAATTAAAGATTTTAAAGCTTACCACACACCATTTTATTATTTTCGGTTAATTCTTAATGTCGAGCGATCAATAACAAGCTGTGAATAGGAATGCATGTCCTTGATGATGAATGCGTAGAAAATATGCCTTGTCGATGGATATTAAGTCCCTTCATTATCTTATGTGCAGTCATAACCATTGCTGAACCCATGATGCAACAATATCATTCATAACCAAATATTACCACAAAAAAAAAGAAATTTCGTGATCCATAATTATTAATTTCTTTTGCAGAAAATGTTTTAATGATGACAACCATGCCTAAATTATAGCTAATGCATGAAATTTTGATGTGAAAAAGTCTATGTATTTAATTCATTCACTATATTTTCATTGTTTTCCAGCATAAATAAATCCTTGCACGTACAATGATATTACCTCACCACCACAAATAGTTGGGATGTCTAATGATAATGTGATTATTTCAAATATATATATATATATATATTGAAAGCCTAAAGGCGAATTGTGCATCAAGGTGAACTAAACGATAATTTTAACTGGGACAAAATGGCAAATGCAGGTACCTGTATAAGAAAGGCCATGTCAACTACCAACGTAGTAATAACACCAAAGACGAGCCCCAGAACTCCATTGGCTACAGTAGAAGAACCGATATCAATATCAATCTGCAAGAGTCAACCCCCTTAGGAATCTCAACATCCAACTCATTCGAGGATGGCATTTCAGTTATCAAGGGAAATACTAAAAATAAGATCGTGTAGCATAAATTATTTGGAAATTCACAAACATACCGAACAATTCATATGTATTTACATTTCTAATACCCGAATTTGATACTTACACTTATAACATCTTAGTGTCATAAACCAATACATGAAAAGATTTCTTTCACTCTAAAAAAAAATAGTTATGGTGGAATTTTTTATGTGATCTTAAAAATTTTAGTTGTATCCATGTAAATATAAATTATTAGGTGTTACATACGCAAATACATAAGAATTATGTGGTATGTATGTAAATGCCTATTATTATTTCTTTTTCTTACTTCCAAGTACTTCGGTCCACGAATATAGGTACAATCAACGGCTTTTCCTAATATGCATGGGGTGCTTCCAACACTCTGGCGAACTATCCAAGAACCCTGGAAAAAAAAATTTCGAAGTCAGAAGAAGATTCCTCAGAGTACCTAAGAGATTTGGAACACAACTTTGATAGAACAAATATGTCATAGATAACCTTAGGAACAGAGGGAATTAGCTTGAATCTACTGTTTCGGAATTCATCATCACCATCAACAAAATGCTGCAGCAATGACCCAGCAACTAGTGGTTTTGACACAAAGTAAAAGACCATACTGTAATGACTTGAGCCTGGTACCTGAAAAATAAGAGGTTATTCTGTCGTGGTGAACACAACAACTACTTAAAAAATGGGATACTTATATAAAGACCACCCAAGGGCTATGTATTTACATATCAAACACCTCTACTTTACTTTTTACATTTAGACCACCCAAATCCTTCAATATCACATCAAAAATATAACAGCTTAACTTTTAAAAAGTGAAATGCATCTTTTCATGCATATGTAAGATGACAAATATGTAAAAATTAAAGTCCGGGTGTTAGATGTGTAAATACAATAGAATTAAGTGGTATTTATTTAAATCTTCCTTAAAAAATAACAGCTATAAGGAGAGAGCAAAACAATTCTAGCATCACTGCAAGTACTTTGGTCTCAAATTTTAGGAGGCATAAGAAATTCACAACTTTAGTCGCAAATTCAAACCAAGCCAATTGATCATAAATGCCACAAAAAGATGTTAGTGTGGTACAACATAATCTACTAATTCTCATTACAGCTAGTTCTATATTTTCAAGCACGTTACAATTCAAACAGCATATCATTCATCCACAGAAGTTCATCAAATTTCGTTAAATAACAATATAAACATTGAAAAGGAAAATCAGTAAACGCAAACATTGAAAAGGAAAATAAAAGTTGGTTTCTTGAAATGAGAAAGAGGAGAAAACTTAAGAGAATTGTTGTAGATTGAAGGGAAAATAGAACCACACACCTTTTGTGTAGCCTTACAATATTTAAACTTGGAGCTAATAACAAACTTCCAAGAAAAAGACCTAAAAATCAGCCAAGAAAATAACAAAAAATAAAATCAAGAAAAATAGGAACTAACTCCTAAGATTAAGGCACAAACTTGACTCAATTAAACCTAGACTTAATAAGCAGTCCTAAGCATCTATTCCAACACTCCTCCTTGCTTTAGGACCTGCGAACACCAAATTTTTGCCTTAGAAACTCAAACTTGCTGATTGGAAGTGACTTTGTAAACAAATCTGTCAACTGATCTTCAGATTTGCAGTAAACCAGAGTCACAAATTCTTCTTTCTGTACTTCTCTTAGAAAAAATAACTTGATATTGAAATGCTTAGTTCTCCCATGAAAAACAGGATTATGGGAAATGGAAATGGCAGCTTGGTTGTCAACAAAATCCTCAGTGCTTTATTTCTGCTCTAGATTGAGATCCATTAGAATTTTCCTCTGCATATTGTCATTCTTCCTCTTGGGAGAATCATCATCCAAGTTGTCGGAGAAAGGGGAGCTTAGCAGCTTCCCGGGGAGCAGTGAATTATAGTTTGATTTAAGAGAGCCTGTACTCTCAACTATTCTGCCATTGTTCCCTGGTGTGAGAACTGTTGCTGCTGCTTTAGCTACCTTTCTACATTGGTCTAACTGCATCCTAAGCCTCCTCAGCTCAGCCTCCATCTCTAATTGCACTGCCTGAGTTGCCTCAAGCTGCTCCAAAACCTTTGTTGCCTTCTTGTTATTCTTTTCAACCTCCCCATTGACAACACCTAGTCTCATTAGTGCTTCTTGTTCTGCAGCTTTTGCTCTCTCAGCATCCAATATAGTTGCAACATAATTCTCCTGATGCTCTCTCTCTCTCTTGACCTCGGATTTTAGTTGTTCATCCATAATGCTTTGCAACTGTGTCTCCTTATCCAAGAGGTTTGCTTTCAGTTCTGTGACTTCTGTAGTAGTCTTTATCAGCCTCATCTCCGAATTAAATTGGCTCGCCATTGCCTTATCCATTTCATATTTCAATTCGTCATTCATTCGTGACATGGCTGAGAGTTCTGTTTCCATACTCAAGATGCGAGCTTTTAAATCTAAAAGTTTTGCAGTTGTTTTCTGTAAGGTTGACTCCAGTTCTAATTCCCTCAGCCCTGCATCAACTTTCACATGCCCAGCCATCTCAATTGATGATTGAATCTTCATAGTGCTTTCAATTTGTTCCTCATGCATTGGATTGAGTGAAAAACTCCTCTCTATCATCTTAACTTCAAACATCTTTTGGCCTGTAGCATCCACTATCACACAGGTCTTCTGCATTAACATCACTTTGAATCACTTTTCTATTAATTGACCAACACTGAGCAAGTTTTGATCAATATCTGGTACATAGAGAACATCGGTGATCAACTTGATTCCTGAACAGCTTGCAATGACTACGGCGCCCTTTCCTTTGACTGCAATATATTCACCATTCCCAATTCCGACCTTCTTGGACTCGGTGCTCTTCAATTCCTTGAACAACTCCTTGTCATATGCCATATGATTAGTGCAGTCACTATCAATGAGCCAATTTTCACTAGTTTTAGAACTTGTGAAACAAGTTGCTACGAAAAGATGGTCATCTTCTTCTTTGATCTGCCACTTGTGACTCATCTCCTTGTTGTTGATCTTTATTCTTGCAAATGACAGCTTCATGTTCCATTTGATTGCACTTGTTGCACTTTGCTTCTGGTCCTCTCCAGCATTTGAAAGGAGGATGACCTTTCTTGCCACAATGTTGACATGGAGGGTAATCTTTTTTTTATTTATAATCTTTTATTTTTAGTTTTACTTTTGTTCTCAGGTGCATAGCTTTGTCCACTTGTTGCTTGCAACTTTTTGTTCTTGAGCCACCTATTCTTTTCATCATCTTGATGCTTGACTGGTAGAGCTCCTTCGACGGCTCCTTCTTCCCTCATTACACACCTCTGCTCTTGTACTTGTAAAGCACTTAAGAGTTCTGTCAAAGCAATCTTTGACAGATCCTTCGTGTTTTCTAAGGCGGTGATGGTAGCCTCAAATCTTTCAGGCACTGTTACAAGAATTTTCTGAACAATCCTTGAATCTTCCAGAGAAGAACCCAATAATTTGACACGATTTGCTATGTTGAGTAGTCTGTTAGAGTACTCATTTATGGTTTCTGTCTCCTTCATATTTTGCAATTCAAAGTCACGAACCAAGTTTAGCACCTGCATCCCTCGAATTCTTTCATCTCCTTCATACTCGGATTTGAGATAATCCCAAATCCCCTTTGTCATTTTCAACGACATGATATGAGTGAAGATTGTGGGGGAAACTACAGCAAATAGGCAAGCTTTTGCCTTGGACTTCTTCGTCTTCTTCTCCTTTTGTGCTTTAATTTGTGCTACGATGGGATTTTCAGGGAGAAGAGGAATGTCATAGTCTTCTTCCATTACTTCCCAGAGATCCAAAGCTACCAGGTAAGTCTCCATGTGAACTGCCCAGATCCGGTAGTTGTCTCCGTCAAACACTGGTGGAACAACTGAGGAAAAACTAGCTTCGATCTCCATTGCCTCTCAAACTCGCACACAGGTCCCTTAAGAAGAGAGCTTTGATACCAAATTGTTGGTTTCTTGAAATGAGAAAGAGGAGAAAACTTAAGAGATTGTTGTAGATTGAAGGGAAAATAGAACCACACACCTTTGTGTAGCCTTACAATATTTAAACTTGGAGCTAATAACAAATTTTCAAGAAAAAAACCTAAAAATCAGCCAAGAAAATAACAAGAAACAAAATCAAGAAAAATAACAACTAACTTCTAAGATTAAGGAACAAACTCGACTCGATTAAACCTAGACTCAATAAACAATTCTAAGCATGTATTCCAACAAGCCGTGAAGGATAAAATATCAAGTACCATAGAGAAATGCTCATTTTAAAATAAAGCTATCACCAAATTATGAAATATTTTTATCCATCAGAAGTTTCACCAAATTTAGTATGTGAAAGCATTCGTGAGAAAGGTAGAAAGAATGGTGGATTTGAAAATTTAAAGCACAAAATAGAACAAGAGCTAAAAGCATAAAATAATAACACAATTTTGAAATTCATGCACCTAATTTAGTACTCTAGGGGCATATAAACAATAAAAGCATCATCCACCCCTTCTGCGTTTGTCATAGAAAAACAAAGTGACAAGTACTTGTTAGGCTTGATGCAGCCATGCAATGGGCTTGGGCCATGTTTCTAATAATAAAAATTTTTATGTTGGCCTGACCGCATTTTTAGCCAAATTTGGGCAAGGATCCCCATAGCTGACCTGAGCTGGAAATCTCACGCATGCATCAATTATATCAACTCCAACAGACCCGATAAAGTCAGATTGAGGTCCAAACCACTAGTTCAATCATTAGGTGGGCAAAACTATGCAAAGCTCAAACTTTTCTGTAATAAATAAGTAAAAAATTTGGTTAAAAATAGTGTCTTGAAGATATAGACTAAACATCCATTGTATCTTGATTTTATGAGTAAAATCCTCACGTCCAGAAATGAACCTTGCATTATTAAGAAAAAATAATTGGAAAAAAATAAAAAATAAAAAAATACAAATCGATTAGTACCATCATCAATATTATTGTTATTCTTGTTATTATTATTATTATCATAATTGGATATAGGTTGACTTGGATAAAAAATGCTGTTTGACCTCTCATTTTCTTTTGTTGTTGATCGTACAGTAATAAAACCTTTGACTTTTGTCCTATGTGGCAATACTGGGCCACCAATCAGTAAAGTAAGAGAAAGCAACGGAAGATGGTGCATCTGGGTTAAAGCATGAATGAAGGAATTCTGCAATACTTTTTGCAGAGAAAAATCATATCACTAATTGTGTATTTGCAGAAAAAAAATCATAATCACTAATTGTAATCATGTTGAGCAGGAACCCTTTGACCTGCTTCGGAATTCCTGCGGGTTTCAATCATCCCAGCTTCAAAACTGCACTTACCATAGGTCTTTATCAATCAGATAGGAACATTTTAAAAACTTAACATTACCAAGAATTATTGTTAAATTTATAATCTAATAATATTAGAATTTTGTTAAAAGTTTAGATGCAGTTGTTCTTTTTTAGTTAGGCATAAGCTTTTAAAAAGTCAACTAATCCAGTTAGAAGCCAGAGATCAAACTATGCATAGCAGTTCAGATCAATCACCTTTACCAACCATCTCACTATCAATATAACGCACCAAAACTAGCACAACAGATAATTGTTGCAGAATTAACCGAGAGAGTTAAGTTGGTATTAATTTGGAAAATGAATGACACATTACTGGAAATGCATTTAAAAGCCAATTGCATGTTGAATTAATACTTCTATGCAATCAGTTTAAAAACCCCTCTACTATGGCATTCTATTTTCAAGCAGGAAGCGAAAAATACAGAAGTGACCAAACAATGCCATTTTATTCCCATGCAGGAATGGATAATAAATAATGTAGGAAGATACTTACTTGAACATTTATGACCAAAGTGAACAGCCCTTTCTCAGAGGCAACCTGCATCAGCAAATCAAAGGAGAGAAGTTTTCACAAAGTTTACATGTAAAGGTAACATTCCCATAAATAGTTGCACTACAAGCGGAAGCATTTCTCCATCCATAGAAATCAAAAGAAAAGGGAAAATAAAAAAGCAAAGGTGCATTTACATACATAGCACACAATTCTTACGTATTTACATACCTCACACCTAAACACACACTGAGCACTGAATTCTTCAATATCACACAAAAAAATAGCACTATTACCGCTTTTTAAAAGTGAAATATACCTTTTCGTGCATAGGTTTAAAGCACCGAAGTGCTATGAAGTCTTGGTATGAGATATGCAAATAAATATAAATTGTGTGCTACATATGTAGATTTCCCAAAACAAAAACAGCTGAATTCTAGATAGGCAAAAGACCACATATAGATGAGGCATTGATATGCACACCAAACTTACACAATGAAAATTAAATAGATTTCAAAGAAATATCATTAAAAAGAATTCTGTCTCAGCAGACTATTCAAAGGTTTGAATTTACACAAGCCTGATTTCATGCGAACTTACAGGGTTGCGAAGATTTCAGAACTTGTTTCTTTAAAGATGCATGCTGAAACTAATCATCTAACTACAAGAAATCCAATATGTCTTTACTAGTTCTCCCCATCCTCCATGTAAATAACTGCATCTAAAAAAATAATAATAGTGTTGAATCTAAAAGTGTCTGGGAAACACAGCCAAAGAATTAAACGTTCCACTAGGAAGTGATTAGGAAGAGAGAAAGAGAGATAGTAGTATTAGACAGAAGAAGGAGAGTGTCTTATTCATGATATGGATTCCTATTTATTGGTCTAGGTCTCAATATTACAAAAGTACATATTAGCCCCCTTATTATTAACTTATCAGAGGGCTTTTTGATAATTATTGAGTTATTTAAATATAATAAGACCGGGAGCCGATTTGATCGATGAGGGTTGTCGATCGCCAAAAAACCTTGATTTGATCGATATATAGTCCAAAAGAGTGCTCCCTATCGATCGTTCTGAAGGTTGATCACCGCCCTGCCGAAGTTTCTCCTAACGCCTTCTCACGATCGTTCGAACAAGTTGATTCCTTCGCTAATATTTATCCAACAACGATTATCGAAGGTTATGCTCAATCATCCGCATTTGCTTTCTGAGCCGCTCTTTGCTTTGAGATTTGCGCTCACATATTTTTATGTATACATATTTAGTTCTCCGATTTTCTTGCTTCTCGAAGGCTGTACAATACACGATGATAAGAGAATTTTTTAACACGTATGAAATAATTAAATGAAATTATTGCACAATAATGAACTTCTCTGGATTTCCGTGCACGGGCTTTTATGATAAACTTTGGCGCAAGGGATATTTTCACCATCTCCGTCTCTTCTGGCTCTTTTGTCTCGTGTTCTCTTTACGTGTTTTTCGCGAAGTCTGGCGAAGAGCGCCGCCTTTCAATAAGACTATCCTCCTCAAAGCTATGAGCGATATGCGGGTGCAAACTCATAAGTTAGACATGAAGCGTAAACCAGCAGGTGAGGTATCCGTGGAAGGGGTGAGTAAAGAAAACTGTGCTTAAGCCAGGGGTCGGTGATCGCAAGAGCTGACCTGGTTCTTCCGATTTTCTTGTGGGCTCTCCCCAAGAGAGGGTTGTAGTATAGGCTAGAGGTCATCCAAGCCCAAGAGAGGGTTGTAGTATAGGCTAGAGGTCATCCTGAGGATCATCCTACGAGACACTCCTGATGTCGACTTGCCCCCTCCTATCATGCACGAGGGGGTGGTTCAGCCCAAATGGTCATTCTCATACGATCAAGGAGCTGGTGTTTGGACGAGCAGTCACTACGCTCTTATTGACAGGGAGATCGAGTGATTCCTTGCCAATCCTTTGAATGGAGACTACCCCTCGATTTTAATCGACATGTTATAGTCTCGTGTCTTCGAGAGGAACTTAAGGTCAATGGATAAAAGGGATATGTTCCAAGCGGTCGACCATTATCATACCCTTGCCTAGCAGGCTTCGCATTTCCGAAAACTTCTCTTAGAAAAAGCAGAGGAGGACGTTGGACGATATGTCACGAGGCTCGGAAGTTGAAGCGAAAACATTCTATGGCGGAAGGGAGATTGAAGTTTTCCCTTGAGGAGCGAAAAATTGATGCCCTTCTAAAGGAAAATAAGGAGTTGAAAGAAAAATGTCTTTGATGGTCACCATGGAGGCATATGTTGAGAGTCTTTCTCGTAAGGTTACAGTTGGTACTTCTCTCGCAATCAAGAGTTCGTAAAGCATAAGCTGGGGGATTCTAAATGAAAAAAAATGTAGGAATTTGGGAAGCTTCTCTCGGATTAAGAGAGCGGGGAAGAGTCTGCGTATCGGGAGTTTGCTGGCGCCGAAGGGACCAGGTAGGAAGATTCTAAGGAGTCTTCAAATGCTCAGGGTTAGAGCGGTCTCGTTTCGTATGATTTTGTTCATTTTTGTTTCTTTTTTGTTTCGTTATAAAGGAGTGTTAATTGTAATTTGCAAATAAATGGTCGTAATACATTGAAATTTTTTAGGTCGGAGGTTTCATTATCCTGACCTTTTTCTCCCTTACTTCCCTTACCTGATGATTGTTGGAATGCATGAGTAATTTCAATTATTATTAGTTGCTGGTGAGTGGGCAAGCATTTCGCATATATGTTCGTTGTAGACTCTTCGAAGAGCTTGTTATTGGTGGGTGTTAATGTCATAGTTAAGGTGCATGACTATCGTTTGCGCACCCCTAGCAGTGTTTGTCGATGTTGGATGCTAACATGTAAAGTAGGGCACAGGACGATCTTTGACACACCCTCGAGGAGCTCATCGTTGTCGGGTGTTGATACATCCCATAAGTCACAGGTGATGGTTGGACCACCCTAGCAGAGCTTGTCACTGTCGGGTGCTAACGTTTAAAGTAGGGCGCAGGACGATCGCTCAAGCAATCCTCACCGAGCTTGTCGTTGTCAAGTGTCGACGAGTCTCATAGTCCACAAGCGATGGATAGACACCCATCGCAAAACTTGTCACTGTCGGGAGCTAACGCTAAAATTAGGGCGCAGGACGATCGTTAATGAATCCCTCGCAGAACTTATCGTTGTCGGGTGTCGATGCGTCTCATTGGCCACAGACGATGGTTAGGCACCCCAGTGGATCTTATTGTTGTCGAGTGCTAACGCTTATAGTAGGGTGCAAGTCGATCGTCGACGCACCTCTCGCGGAGTTTGTCGCTTTCGGATGTTGATACGTCTCATAGGCCACAGACAATGGTTAGAGTCCTCTTACGAAACTTATCACTGTCGGATACTGCCGCCTAAAGTAGGGCGCAAGATGATCGTTGACACACCCCTCGCGGAGCTTGTTGCTGTCGAGTGTCGATATGTCCTATAGGCCACTCGACAATCTTTGCATGGATTGATAAGTTTTTAGCCAACCGCGAAGCCTATTTTCCGAGCGTAACTGTGTCAATTCCCCGAGCGTAATTTCATCAGTTCCCCAAACGTAATAGCGTTAGTTCACTAGGTGTAAGATCGCCAGTTCCCTGAGCGTAAAAATAATCAAAGAAAGTACTATTAGTGATATTGAATATGTAAAATCTCAAACTTTTATATGATATGAATGTAAAAAAGCCACTTTACTATAATGAGCTTTTAAAAGATAAGAATAATTATACAAAACAATTATGACAGTGTTCCTTCTACAAGTAGAGATACCTCTAAGGGAAGAATTTCTTTAGATCGTCACCACTCCAGGTTCAAGAGACATCGTTCCCTGCAAATATCTTCAGTTTGTATGCTCTAGGTCTAGCTCTCAGGTGGATGATGTAGGGGTCATTCCAGGTTTGATCCAGCTTCCCGATAGCTTGCTCGTTGGCCGCGGAGTCGGCCTTCTTCAGCACCAGGTCCCCTAGAACAAACTTCTCTTTTTTGTACGTGTTTGTTAAAATATTTGGTTGTCCTCCGCTTCACCTCTTGTTGTCAGAGGGTTGCATTGGCTCGATTCTCCTCGACCAGATCTAGGGCGAGTCTGACTCCTTCGTTGTTCGCCTCAAGCCACTCTCTTAGATTTTCCTCGTAGAAAAGCTGAAGCAGAGAGTACCCTCTGTCTGTGGTTTTTGTATTTGACCGGTAACATGGCTTCCATTCCGTGGGACAACATACAGAGGATATATTCGGTGGACGTGGATGGCGTTGTTCGGATCACCTAGAGTACCGAAGGGATCAGGTCTGTCCATTTGCCTTTTGCTCTTTCTACCTTATTCTTTAGCAAATTTAGGATGATTTGTTTGCGGCCTTGGCATGTTTGTTAGTTTGAGGATGATGTATAGAAGCAAACATGAGGTTGATCCCTTGACTCTTACAAAAGTCTTGAACTCCTTTGTCGACGAATTAGGTCTCATATCTGCAACTATAACGAGCAGTAATCTGTATCGGTAAATCAGGTTAGTCTAGACGAAGTTCCAGACTACTTCCGTCGTTATGTGTGTCAGGAGCTTTGCTTCTACCCATTTAGAGAAATAGTCAACGACCACCAGTAGAAACTTTCGATGTCCTTTTGACGATTGGAAAGGTCCCAGCATGTCGAGGCCCCACATGGCGAACGACCAAGGACCGATGATCGGGTGAATTTTTTGGGACGGTTGATGGCGCACTGGTCTGTACTTTTGATATTGTGTGCATCTTCAAAAATATTCTTTGGCGTCTTTGAACAAGCTCGGCTAGAAGTAACATTGTCGTTGAATTCGATGAGCTAGTGTCTTTCCCCCAGAATGGCACTCACACTCCCCGTGATGAACTTCTCGGAGCATGTCTTCAACCTTGTCTTCCTCAATGCACTTTAGGTTCAAAGACGTGGCCAACTTCCTGAAGAGTTTTTCTTTGATTAGTAAGTATTAGACAACCTTATATTTGAATCTCCTGCGATCAGTGACTTCTTTTCCAATCTCCCTCGTATTTAGGCATCGGATGTATGAGCTCATCCAG